TATTCAATTTCACATGACACTGATGATACTTTCAAGGTACTACTACCTAATGCGGATACAAGTAGCGTTTTCAAAAAGTGTAATCTGGAGGAGGCCTAAACTCCGAGGCGAGTTTGCTGTTTTTCTTGTGCCCCCTCCCTCCCTCATTGGCCTGTAGATCAGTTGACAGAATTCACTAGATTTCAGCCCCAGTGTACTCATCGCAAAAACATAGAGAGAAATCATATGGCCTCTCCCGCGTGGTAGCGGTACGTGGCCCAGTTACCTACATCCTACTCCTACTACTAACTTATCTGCATAAAGTTATCTTCATATGAATACACTTTCATACTTATAAAATGACTTTTAACTAGATTCTTATACCAGCTGAATCGTTATTCAATCTCACCCAATGTCAACTATACTATGCGTCATGGAGTCAGAGGTTAAGAAGATCATGAGTTAAGTTGTGTTGAACGAATGATATACCTACTTTTTTGTTGATAATCCGAACAGTGAAATCTGAATAATCCGCACATAGCGACGTGACGATAACAACCATGACAACGTTCTTTCTAGCATTATTCGGCTTTCAACACAGAATTTGTACGTCTATTGCCGAGGATAAAGCGCCGTATTAATGAGAATGGATGTCAGCACCGGCAAAAGGTCATGATCAGATCAGACTGGCAAAGCGATCTGGACAATATGTTACCGATGCAATTGTATCTAAATGTAGCCAATGTCCATAAATATCGTAATTCGCGCTGCAGAAGAAAATGTTTTCGTTTAGAACATACAATTGCCACTAAACTCGACAAAATTACTCATTTTCAATTTAGTCTAGAGGTCGTGACTACCAGAAATTTTTGAACAAAAACTTAATTAGCCGAGGACAGTTAAGGTGACTTGCAACTAAATTTTACCACAATCAAACAAATTGAACTCAGGAGGCCAACCAAGCTCATTTGCCCTAGTCTTGCAGACGTTTATTTCATTCAGAGTTGGCCGTAATTTCGACCTCGCCTGAGTCTCATCAGCCCGCCCAGCAGGATTACATACCAAGTCGTACGACCTACTCATCTATTTGTCGGAAAATATGAATTATCGTGCCTTATAAAAGTTGTTTGACCTTGGTCATGTTGGTAGGAAGACTTATAGGAACACACCTTGTCCTGAGTCCGTTTAATGCATAATTATTTCCAAAGTCGGACCGTGGACACGGTACATTCCCAGACGTTTCGCCGGCATCGTCAGTCAGTTTTGCCATTCGTAGCACCATATTACAACTCGTCAAATGGACAAGTGAAGCCCATCCTTTGACCAAAC